TGTGTGACTGAATTCAGCCATTCCGTCTGTTTATTGCTAGAAGCAAATAAGCTAGGCTCTTATTTACATGCCTCAGATTTACAAGTGTATGCAGTGAGTGCATCACATCACTGAAGTGGGACAAAGAGACACATTGCATTCTAGTGGCTCAGTGTGGTAAAATACTTCCAAGTATGAGAATACTACTCATAAAACTTGACAATTTAAATAGGGATTTGCAGTGAGCTGCTTCAGAAAACAATGAAAAGGCAAAGCTGGAGAAAATTAACTCTATTTATCAGAAAAATAAATTCTGAGCCATTCCACTTAACAGTGTTTAATTTCTTATGCAAAAAACCCAACCCCACCCTGTACAAATGAAGACATTAACAGGCCTGAAAAGCATAGAAGCAAAGTTCTCAATCATACAGATGTATAAGCACCTTGCCACAGCATGCATCAACCTGTTAAAATCAAGGGAGCTAATTGCAATGGAAAGGTATGTGTGCTCAGTTTCTACAGGATAATACATCAGGTGTTAACTCTTTATATCCTGCTTCTGACGTGTTGCCACCACTGACAAACCTCACTTTTTAGGAACTGTATGTAAGGAAGTACCTGAAATACCTTTAAGAGAAATCATAACAATATCACACTTCTTATGTCTCTGTTCTCTAAATACCTCCTTAAAACCAGCCTCTACAGTGCTGCCTACAACTGCTTTCTGTTTTCCAGCAATACTTAAGGTGACTGGCTCCTTGTAGTTAATATGTCCACTGAGGCAACTAAACTATACAAATGCATATAGACTAACTGCTGCCTTCACCTTGTTCATGTCCGTCTGAACACTTGTGGCATGTCTTCCTAACTTATCCTGGATGGTTTGTTCTCTGAAGCTAGGATTGTGTCACAAAGACCTCAATCTTTAGCCTCTACTCCTTTTCTTGAGCCAGAATCAGAGGGAGAAGGAGTTTCTGAGTCTCTTGCACGTGGGATGGAGGACTCAGAAGGTCAGCAGGGTTGCTTCCTATAGGTAGTGAGGAGGGAGGGCAAAGAAAATGTACTGCTGTAGGGTTTTCTGTTATTAGGGATGCAGTGCTGGGCTCACCACCTTGAGAGGAAGCAAATTCTGTAATGTTAAGAAAGGATGTTGGATGTTGGTATAGACACCAGGCTGGGAAATCTAAAAAGAGGTTTCAAATGAGTGGTAAGGATATTTCTCTGACATGATCAGACTTACTAAATTATTCTGGCTATAGATATTGCAGGACAAAATCCTACAGGTCTTATATATTCTCTTCTCACTTTGACTATTGAAGGTGAGAATCTTTGATTCACAGTTTTGATATTTACTATTAATTTCTTAAAAGAACTGTCCTAAGTATTTTACAGGCTCTTAAAAGAAGGTAGAACCTGCTCTAGGGAGATCTTAATTAATCTTTACACTATATTAAAAAAAAAGGGGGGGCACAATGACGACATGAACCTTTTTTTTTTCCTGAGGGAAAGGCAAGATAGTGGATGCTTACTGTGAGACCCAAAGGAAAGGGAAATGGGTGAGAGCCTGAGGTGCTCTCCTCAGTGTGGAGCAGCATCACAGTGTCTATAGATCCCAGGATAAAGCTCAGGATCAGTGTGTCACTCCTCAGCTCTTCTTGATTGCTTCCACAGCTTTGCTGCTGCACTGAAGTCCCCAAGACACACACAAGTTGTGAATATATACACTAAACTACAGTAGAAATTATTGGGAAAGGAATTTGGCACTATCATTAGCAAAGGTTTCAAGAAAGAGCTTATTGAATACAAATATGAGAAAATAACCATAAGAAAAGATCATAAGAGCTGAAATTGAAGCCACCACAGAAGTTTGAAAATCAAATTGGTTTTGGTACAGCTGTGTTACAGCTCCTACAGGCTGTGAGCTAGCTATGTTACACCTCAGCACACTGCTGGTGTCACCATATAGCACACATGGGTCAGGGTGACAGCTCTGCCATAGTAGCTCATTTCACTGACAGTTGCAGTGGACAGGAAAGGTAGTAGTGATAGAAATACTTAATGGTTTCTGTCAAGGCAGATGCTTCCATGCAGGGGACATGCACTTTTTTTGGTATAGCAGTCTTGTTAGACTATATGTTATCTCCAATCTTATTAGAAAACACAGATTTACAACTGCTTATCTCAGAGGTGAGAGACATTTGAAAATATTGAAAACTAGTGGCAAAAGTCTCCAGATTAACCTCCTCAGACTTTAGACACTAAGCAGCCTGATTTCCAAAATTGAAAATTAGCACATCTACTTAAGTGCCTACATTCTGGGGTGCTCAGCAAATTCCAAGATGCCCAAAAAGCCATGTTGGGTACCCATCAGGTTTCACTCAGCCTGAGTGAGTGAGCAAACCCCACTGGAGTGGATGGAAAGACACCACTGTGTTTCGAATCAAGTCTATCAACTGCAGAAGCAGCTGCAGTTTGAACCATATGTGCAAATCCGATCACCAGATGTCTTGGCATGTGTATAAGCTTTTCGAAAATGTTTGTGAACAATACTGATAATATCTGGGCTTTGAGAATTAGCCTCTTCCCCATAGTCATTCATCTTGGACGTCAACTGTTCTTCATATAAGGGGTTATTAAAGAGCTGCCAAAAGCAAGAATTATGTCACAAGGTGTGTTTTTATCAAAATTATAACAAAATTCTTCCACATTGGTGGCCTGGAAAAGCATACTATATTCTCCTAGAAACAGATCATCTGCAAAGAAAGCAGAATTTCGAGTTCTTAAACCATTTACCACTTCAGCTGGTAACACATTATAATGGAAGTCCTGCTGATAATAATTTATCTTTTTTAGTCCTGAAAGCAATGGAAAAAAGGTCCCAGACATGTTTCCATCATCCACCCCATGGGGCAAAAAGAACCCTTCTCACCATGCCTGCTGCGGCAGTGGAATGCTATGCAGGTCCTCCTTTGTGTGATTATTAAAAGTACCATATAAACCTCTTTATTCCCAAGGCCCAATTAGTGAGGGAGCTTTTCGGTATTGTCTCCACACAGCAGGATATTTGCAGCTGTTTCAAGACCCCAGTTTAGAGCCCAGATGTCCCCAGCAATCAAGTTGAACAAAATGGAGTTGAATTTCTACAGTATGCCAGCTTTGGGTCTTATTTTTTGGGATGTTTGGTGGAGGAAGGTCGAGACTGGTCTGCAGAAGCCAGGACAGCTCAGCTGGGAGAGCTTTCAGAGAAACTGACTTGCCAAGGAGAACATCCTCATCCTCCTTGGAAATATACTTGTTGGGCTGAGGTGTCCCTAATGGCAGGAGACCTGCAAGACAGGCGTTGGTCATGCCTTCTCAGACCAGATGATAAGCTCCAGAAAAGCACCAAAAACAGTTCAAGCATTAATGTACATTTAGTCCAGCGGCCAGACTACAGCTCATCTGAACTAAAGTTGCCCCAATATGTGCAGCAAATGAAGAATTCATATAGGATAAACCCCCGCACTTATGCCTTAGAACAAATTTTGGCAAGCGGGAGAGACCAGTGGTCTCCCTTTCATACAGGCATATCTGACTTTCACATGGCTTATGACAAAGCTAAATATAATGCTGCACACCACGAAGAAGTACAAGGGACTCTATAGTCCCATGTAAAATCCTAATTCAGTGCTTCAGATGAACCAGGGAACTTTATTATGGTTGTGTGTGATACAACTCTGAATAAATTTACTTTGTGATAGACATCTATGGGCAGGATTTCTTTTTTAAGTGCTCTACGCAAGCCACACCAATTATAATTGAACAAAACTCTTTCCAAATAGCAATGCTAAGGTATGATCAAGTTGAGCTGGGAGGTCACATTTTGCAGCAACTAATTACTGAACTAGGAGGAAAAGAAATATATGTAATACTCCTCAAAGAAAATTGAAAATCTTTATTATACTGTTATAAAATATCAGAAAAATAATTATTTTCATAACCTTGTACTGTCATGGTTAGAGAAAGTAGATGTGAGAGTGAAAGACTCCCATGGTAACCTCTCAGGAAGGGTGTTGTGGCCCTTCTCCAAGAGCAACAAATTTGCATAGAAAAATGCATTGTTAAAATGTTCAAAATTATCACTAGAATTTGTGACACACACTATCTATATCAATATTCCTGCATTTTTCAAATATCGTGGCATATTTCAGTGACAAAAAGTGTCACCAAAAGTCTGCCATTTCTCAGAAACAGATCTGCATGACGCTGTAGTAGTCTCAAAAGCATCCAATACGTATCCCAAGGTCACCACACACAGAATGTGTAGCACACAGATAGGGTGGGTTGAATCCTAAAGGGATGAATGTTATTTCTGCTGAACTACAGTGCAGTGAAACAGAGCGGCACCGAACCGGCAAAGCCATAAATTGTTCACAGGTTCACAGGGCTCCGATCAGTCACCGTGTAATATTGCTCACGAGAGGTGAGATTACATTAGAGCATCCATTCCAAGAGTCTTAAAATCAATCAATCAATCAACCTCGTTCTAAACGCAAGATAATTACTTTGGTTGAAAAACCACAACTAAAAATCTGAGGCGACCTCCCGCTCGGGGCACGGCGGGCGCCGCTGCGGGGCAGCTCCGCCACGGGTGCGCTGCGGGAGCGGCGAGCGCTCCGAGGGGCGGGCGCGACCTCCAGCCTCCGCAGCGGGACAGAGCGCTACCTGTACCGAAACGTGCCATGTCTTTCGAATTTGCCATTTCCCTTTCGCGTTTTGGCTAACACCCCAGAGATGCCCTCAGCAATTATTCACGGTCTCCTGACGGGAAGCCCCCGCTCCAGCTGGCTGGGAGGGGGGGCGCACCCAGCAGCGGCTGCCCCTCGCTCCCAGCAGCCCGGAGCTCTCAGTCCCGCCGTGCCCCGCCAGCCCCGGGGCTCCGCCGCCCTCAGCGCTCCCGCGGCACCTGTTGCGGCGGGGCTGGGCCGGCCGAGGGGGGCAGGGGGCGCCCCCGGGGCCGCGGCGCTCGGCGCATGCGCCCCGCCGTCGGGAATTGTTGCTCCTCGCCGCTCCGCGCCAAGTTCCAGCGCGCGGCGCGTCCCCCGTGAGCGGCCGCCGGGATGGGGGCGGCGGCCGGGCGGGCCGGACCGCGGGAGCTGATGCTGCCGCTGGCGCTGGCCGTGGCGTGCGCGGCGTGCAGGTGAGCGCCGCCAGCATGCGGAGGGAGGGAGGGAGGGAGGCGGGCGCGGGGCGCCCCGGCGGCCTCCCTAACCCAGCCTGTGCTCCTTCCCGCAGTGCCGACGGGCCCAGCAACATGTCCTACGTGAAAGAGACGGTGGACAGGCTGCTCCAGGGCTACGACATCCGCCTCCGCCCCGACTTCGGAGGTGAGGCGCCCGCGCTCCCCCGACCCGCGCCCCGGCCCCCCGCGGTGCGCTAACGCCGCCTCCCGCTCCCCCCGCAGGTCCGCCCGTGGACGTGGGCATGCGGATAGAGATCGCCAGCATCGACGTGGTCTCGGAAGTCAACATGGTGAGTGACCCGCGAGGCAGGGCGGTGGAGCCCGGGCGCCGTCCCGCCGGTGCGGGGGCAGCCGGAGCCCCGGGGCCGGGAGCCCGGCTACCTACTGAGCCACGGCAAGTGCTACAAAATAACCAAGCATGTTACAGTTGCTAGGAAAAGTTATTTTGCATTTTTGAGATAACGTTGGCACGCCTGCGGTGGCACTTCAGAAGAGCCCTGCCTTGGTCAAAATACTTGCTGCAGATTTGAGTGTCTGGGTCCCGCCTTGCCCTGGTTTGCCGTTTGCGTAGTCAACAGCTGTCTTCGGAAATGTTGGAGTTTCTTGAGCTGTAGCAGCAGATGGCCAGATGTGCGTGTTTTCATGTTAAATTATTTAAAGAGTTAGACACTTCACTTTGCAAGCTAGTGGCCTTGAGTAAAAGGTGCAAAGAGAAAATAGAAGGGAGCTTCTAGAAAACACTCTTGTAGAAGGGAAAGAATAACGACATTGGAGAATAAGTACAAAGGATGTTTCCAGCTGTCAAAATCAGAAAAGTCTTGTAGCTACAGGTGTGAAACATACTGCATTTGATTTCAGATCTACTGCAAGAGGGAATGCTAATAGACATGCAGGCTTAAAGAGTAAACATGTCTGTTTAGTGCCTGCCTCGTTTGACAGCCCTTTCCCAGAAGAAAATGAAAAGTCAGTTGTAAGTTTGAACATTATACAAAATCATGTTGAATTAGTCTGCACCATGGGCATTTTGCTCTCAGTCTCTTATGTTTGATCTCATATGAAAATCTTTCTCATATGAAAATGCTTTCTGTACATAGGGGAATACCTACTTAGTTAAAAGAAGCTAGAAACTTTACATTTCCATCCTGATCAGCAGTTTATTTTATTGGGTGATATTTGCCCATGCAAAGTAATTTACTCAAGAGTGGGAATTTCTTCCTTGATGTATTAGTTAATAGCTGTCATTAAAACAATCTCTTCAGGGATTGTTTTCATTTTCATATTTAGTTTTTTTCTGTTGTTTGTTATACACAGCTTATGTTTGTTTGTAACTGTTATATTTGCTTATGAATATGCATGGCAGAATGGGGAGGAAAGGAGAGTTGTCACTTAGTGTACAGCACACTAGGTTCTGCAGACTGCTAATGCCACTCAAAGAGAACATTTTGCAAGTTTCAGCTCCTGGAGTTCTTGTTGCTGTATTGTACTTTCAGGGAGGAACGTGGTACAGACAGTGCAGATGAGGCAGAGAAATCGGAACATAGACCTTATCAAAACTGTCAAAGAACAAATATACTCCAACTCCAAACTATTTCTACCACCTTGTAATGGGATTGCTGCTTCTACAAAGCAGTACACCTGGGAAAAGCCAAACAGACCAAACAACAAAATACCTGTTCTGAAAGGTCCAGAATTTATAAAGTCTCAACACCTGAAATATTGTTAATCTGTGGATGTGGCAGTTTCCAATCGCAGTCTCACAGGGCATTAATTGCATCAGTTCACAGCATTTCTTAGTTGCATGCTGGATCCATCAAAGCTTTCTTCTCCATTCTAACACTTGCACAGCCCCTGGGAAACTGTAATTTGAACCTTCTGATTTTTGATTAGGGGAAGTTACAGATGGATTCTTTGACTAATCTCTGTGTGCTAAGAGGGCAGCTTGACTAAAACTGGTCAAAAAGTAAGAAAATGTTTTCATTTCATAAAATGCCGCATCTCACAGCAGAAGGAATCAACCATTCCCAGTTATAGCCAATAGCCCACTACTTAAGGCAAAACACAGGAAAAACAGTCTGCATTCTGAATCAGTCTCAAAGGGCTTGCCCATATCACAAGTCCTACCTGTACATATCCATGTGTAGAGTGTTCTTTGTTGTAAGGTCTTTATTGTGTTGCTAAAGACTGTTTGCCTGGTTTTGGACAATGACCAATTATTTCATCCATCATTGCAAAAACGAGGGAATTGGCATCTTGGCTTAAGGAAAGTTTTTCTACCTAGTAAAGTAATGCTTTATTCTAGTACTTTTTTTTTCTGAGAAATCACAGCCTTGAGATGCTTAATGTTGCAGTCACATGGGAATTGTTTACCTTCTCTTCTTTTAAACTCTTGTCTTATAGATTTTTCTATTTTTAATTTGTTTAGTAAGAGCTACCGTTCTGTAGCTTCAGACTCAGAAATGTTTTTCAGAAGCTCCTAATTTATAGCTTCTTTTGGCTATAGGGCAATTTTCTTACTGAAGGAAATGAGTAACGTGAGCGGGAAAGCAATATGCTCATCATGTGAGCTCCTCCTGGCAAGAGAGTCTGGTTGGATTCCACCAGAATTCAGCCAGTCTCACCTTAGCAGTGTTGGAGGGAGTTGTCTTATCCCTTGGCTTTCCTCAGGAACATGAAACCTTATACCAAGAATGACAGAGACAGCTATTCCAAATCGTGGTACCCACAGGGTTAAATTTTGTATTCCAGTCTCAATGCCTAAATAAGAGTAAACATTAATGTATATATATCTAGGCTATGAAGGAGGTGTTCTCCTTTGATGCATTAGCTAGACTTTGTCATGGCTGTAGGATGTCTGCCAAGTGAACAGGCTGATTTGTATGTCCAAATAAATCCAGTCCTCAGGTAAAAAGTTGAAATATAGACAACAGAATTATTTTGAATTCTCTGAACACCAGTAGTAATAACTGCCTGTTCAAGCAGCTTGGTTGTAGTGTCTTCTTCTAATATACTAAACTATTGTGAAATAGTTTACTAATACTTAACTAATGAATCGAGACTTGCACAGTCTTGAAGTCAACTGTTCTGTTACTTCCCCCTGAGTACTTGGTCCTCATCTGTTCAGCTCTTTGAACATTGTTTTATAGCTGCTTGGTAGTTCAATAATACTGTGGTGAGCTGCCATAGCAACTTTTGCAGAAGGATTATTTGAAGCATTCATTCTTATGACTCTTCCATTTGACATCAGTTATGTTGTCTTATGTTGATTTTTGCAGGTAATAAGCTGAAGAGCTTGTCAAACAATGAACAAGCAGGAGAAGTAGAATGTAAAATCCCAGGGACCATTGCCCAGTTTCTCCCTAAAATTCTTGAAGTTTCAGTATTTCCATCAGATTTGCACATCCTTACTACAGTAACTGGAAGCATTCTCTTCCAAAGGTACAAGGTGACCCTTCCCTTCGTCTCGGTTAATGACTGCTCAGCTAACTTCCATCCATGGCAGAGTTCCTTTAGAAGTATGTTGGACATATACATTAATATAAAGATTTTATTAAGAATCATGCTATGACTAAATCTATTAAGCTGCTGTGATGTCTGGTTTACTCTGATACCTTTACATGGTTAACAGAAGGTGCTGCTTGTACATCAAGAATAAACATGGATAGCATGATTGATGGTAACTACTGTCAAGCTTCAGGGTATGCAAATAAATAACATATTGCTCTATCTATTACAAAACAGTCAAGACTAAACTCTAAAAAAAATCACGTGGTTCATGACTTAATTTTCTCTAAAATGTATTTCTTACTGAAGAAAAGGTGTTAAAACCTTTATAATAGGCAAAAGATAGCTATATATATTTTAAAGTTTAAAAAAAAATCATATGATAAATAACTTTTTTTAGAGCAGTTAAAAGAGACATCAAGAAGCAGATTAAAAAAAGCCCTTTTTTTTATTTTGGGAACAGTCTTCCTGACCTACCATACTGATTTTACACTGATGATGATGTAGTTTCTGTGATTGCAGACTGAAGGTTTCTCATCTCAGCAGAAAGAGGTTAAAGAAAACACGGAAAGAATGTTCAATTCTCTAGCTTCTCTACACTTGTACTTAAGCCTCTTACATTTATAATTGGTTAACAGACTCCAGAGGCAGAACTTCCCTTAACATTAATAAACATACATATGTATATATATATATACAAGCAGAAGTTTTTCAAATTTGCCTGTAAATCCAGAGCAAGGACATGGAATCCTCCAGGGCCTAGAAGAGCAGAAGGCCTTCACCTTACTTTAGGGCTGGTGCCAGCCAGGTGTCTGTAGCGTCCTATACTGGTAGATGTTTAGTCAAGATAAGCTAAATCTCTGGGTTTAAACACTGAGTTGAGCTGGGTAGCCAAGGCACTGAAAGTTTGACCATTAATCCTGGCAGGCTCATGCATTAGACCCCGGTTTTAAGAATGGTAGAAAGACTTTCACATATGGATGCAGGTTATCTTAAGACACTTTTTGCAGATTGAGAAAGACTAAGTTTACAGACATAGCCAGAGTTTCACAGGTCTTGTTCTTTCTCCCTGTCTTGATTAAGTATTTTGAGAATTAGCATGGTGGCCATCGTGAATCTCAATGTAGAAAACAAACTCTACAATAGGGAACCAAATTGGCATTATAAACTCCATCTCACGCCTCTTTGAATCAGAGCATCCAAGTCACGTTGTTTGTGATCTTAAGTCTGATTCATACAGAACTAAAAGGTCAAAAACTCCTTCAGTTCAACCAGGGTGGCAACGCAAGTGATCAGCGGAGTCATAGTGACAATAAATGCTCCTTGGTCTAAATATATTTACCTGACGAGGTTCATACAAATTAAACGGATTTTTTTTTTAAAGACATAAAGCTCAATAATTACTAATTAAAATTTGCTTAGCTGTAGGGCAAAAGAAGAAAGAAGTACTTCTCTGTTATATGGCATCTATCCTAAAGAACATGAAGGACATGCAAAAGCACTTTTAAATGAATATTAATACGAATGTTTGGCAAATGATTTTATTTTTTTTCAGCACATGTGGAAAAACTTATCAGCTAGTAATACATAAAGGTCAAATCATTTTGTCACTGCCTATTCCAAACAGGAGTAATTATATTAAAAAGTGAAACATGGAATGAATGTAGAAATTGGCAGCCTGAGGTTAAACGACTGGGTCACTGTCACTAAAAGTTTTGTTGGCTCATTTTTCATTTGACAAGAATAAGAGGTTCTTCAACAAAATTGGCAAGTAGGCAAAAAGTATAAA